AAGAATACCTTTCCACCCTAAGTGAGGAAAAACTTTTCTTGGAGAATATAGAAAAAAAAACACACAATAAAAGAAAAAATATTGATAAATATGATTTCATCAAGATGACATTTTTTCTTATCCAAAGTTGTCATTTAAAGGAGGGAAGTCACAACTATGAGATTATTAGCAATACATAAATCTAACAACGGACTTATTTCCAGAGTAAAGAATCCCAACATGTAGTAAAAAACAATTAATACGGCAAAACATGAATAAACTCTGCACAGAGAAGTCACGAGGATAGCCAATGAGCAAAGAAAGGATGCTCAAAATCATTATCCACCAGGTAAATGCAACTTAAAGTCACAATGAAATACTACTCACATCCAACAAATGGTTAAGAGAAAGATGATATCAGTGTTCATGAGAATGTGAAGCTCCTAGAAATCTAGAGTATAGCAGGTGGTAGAATAAAATGATTAACTATGAAAAACTGACCAGCAATTTCTAATAAAGTTAAGCATATGCTCACTCTATGACCCAGAAATTCCATTTGTAGGTTTTTGTCAAAAAACAAAACAAAAACAAAACAAAAAAACAAACAAACCAAAACATTGAAATCATAAATCCACAAAAAGACTGAAACAATCAATGTTAATTGGTTTAAAAAGTTCTGTAATTTTGAAACAATTCAGTGTTTATCCCCAGTTGAAGCACTATTGTCATCTATTCGCAACAAGGGAAAACTCCACAGAAATAAAATGAATAAAACATAAGTACCATAGAGAATCTCAAGAACATTATGTTGAACCAAAAAAGCTGGACACACCTAAGAACATACATGGTTTAATTTTTAGAAAATTCTAGAGGCAAAATCATTTTATGATGACAGAAGTCATTACAATAGCTGACTTGAGTTGGCAGGGATTAGTTTAAAAGAAGCATAAGGATACTGTCTGGTGTGGGATAATGTTCCGTATCTTGAACATAAGTGTATATATTTGTCAAAAACATCAAAAGTCTACCATTAAAATATGTCCATTTCATTGTGTGTTCATATTATTTGAATAACAAAAATTATTTTAAAAAACTAACAAATCAGACAATCTCATGCATCTGCCTAAAACCATTCAATGGCCTTTGCTGCTTTCAGAAGAAAGTGCAATTCTGAGCTAGACCACTGAAGACAAATGAAGAATGGCCCCCAAATCTTTCTAGCTTAATTTCAAGGCATTCTTTCATTTCCCCCCACTGATAAGACAAAATGCCATTCAGTGTTATAATGCACATCTCAAGACTGGGTCCTCAAAGTACTCTTCTTAAGCATTATCTATCCATCCCCTACTTTTTCAAGCTATTTCAAATTCTATTCCTCTGGGGAACTTTTCTTGATCTCTAAGACTAGGTGAGTTTCCCTCGATGTTATTTTAGTGTCAAAAACTCACTCATAGCCTCATTATTACTATAGTCAAATAATTATTTATTATTTGCTTTCTCTATTAACTTTCAGTCCAGTTAGAACAGAGACCCCACTCATTTTCTTAATATCTTTTAAATTATGGAGTAATACACAAATATAATCTAATTTAAAAATCTATTCAGCAATATGCATTTCCATTCCACAGACTCTGACTCATGGTAAAGGCTCAGTGAAAATGTCATGTAAACTAATGATACTGACAAAATGTTTGGCAATGTGTTCTGAGGCATGACTAATCAGACAAAAAAAAAAAAAAAACAAATACGAGGGCAAGGAGTTGGGGGGGATAAAGCTACTCTCTATAATCCCTAATGACATAAACATTAATAAATAGAAATGGTTGAAATCAAGTGCCTAGAAATGATTCATGGAAGTATTTCCTGGGAAACTGGTTACACTTATTCTTGGAAGTCAGAGTTGGAAACCAGTTACACTTATTCTTGGAAGTCAGGATTGGAAACCAGTTGGCAGAGAGATGATCAGCCCCTTCTGGAATTATAGTTGTGCAGGCTGCAAAAGCTTGGAACCTAAACCCCTTCTGAGGTGTTAAGCGTCTGTCAAAGGAAGCAGCAAGAGGAAGCCAGATATGTGCCAGCTGGTCTCTGTTCATTGTGTGGAGTAGGATTAATGTGGTGACAACTGGAAGATCATAATTCACTATACTACTGATCACAATTCACTACTATCTGGGAAATTTAGTATGTGCCATAGACATGGAATGGAGGAGAGGGTACTTTCCTGAATGGTCATGGAAAGAAATCAGCTCAGAAGTTATGTTTCTTCGGTGTCTGGGTGGCTCAGTTGGTTAAGCGTCTGACTTCAACTCAGGTCGTGATCTCACGTTTGGTGGGTTCGAGCCACTCGTCGGGCTCTGTGCTGACAGCTAGCTCAGAGCCTGGAACCTGTTTCAGATTCTGTGTCTACCTCTCTCTCTGACCCTCCCTTGCTCATGCTGTCTCTCTCTCTCAGAAATAAATTAAAATGTTAAAAAAAAAAAAAGAAGTTATGTTTCTTGTAGAATATTACGGTTTCCTTATCTTGGCTATCAGAGTGATGGGCTATTATTATAACTTCAAGTGTAATTGTGGTATTGCAAGTATGCTGTCCTCACCCTTGAATTTTGCTATTTTTGAGTACTTCATAATACGACTGTGTATTTATAGTCAATCAGCCTTTGAGTGTTTTTAAAATCTATAAATTTGCTTTTTTATTGGTGTTGGTAGGCAGAATAATGGTTCCAAGAATATATCCATATTCTAAACCTCAGAATTTGTGAATATGTTACTTATGTAGAAAGGGTTAGTAAGGTGGCAGATGGAATTAAAGTTTTTAATCAATTGATCTTAAAACAGGACCATTACCAGATGGGTGAGACATAATTTTAAGCATCCTTAGAAACAAAAGAGAGAGAGGCAGAAGAGTAGGTCAGAGTGACACAAAGTAAGATCAGATTGACCCATCATCATTGCTGGATCTGAAGATGGAGAAAGGAGAGAATGGGCTAAGGAAGGCGTTGGGCCGCCAGAAACTGAAAAAGGCAAGAAAGTAGGTTTTCCCCTAGAGCCTCTGGAAAGGAATGTGGCTCTGCCAGCATACTGATTTTAGCCCCAGAGAGACTGTACCTGACTTGTCACCTACAGGACTATGAGGTAATTAATTAATATTGTTTATTCCACTGCTTTGATGTAGTTTTGTTTTACCAATAGTAGAAAAACTAAGATACTAGTATATTTCCAAAAACCAGAAAACTTTCCACTGCTACATCTAAAATCTGGAGACATGAACAGAGGAGGCCTCAGCTTGTCCAAAAAGCTCTGGCTGTTCCCCATGACCGCTGTGCCCTTGCTTAGGTTTTGGGGTACAAATTGAATTCTTTCTCTTGGTTGAAGATTATGGGCATGAAACCAACTTGGATCGTTAAAATTCATGAGCAGTACTGTTTACAGAAGAATTTTCTGTTTTAAATTTTATAACGCAATAGACGATGAACTTTTCCCCCAAATCTTCTTTCATTATTCCTGTGTGTTCTTCTAGCCATGTAACTGTCATGACTACTTCCTAAACGTGGTGGAGGAGGAGGGAAGAATATGAAGCAGATAGGGAGCATACGAGGGAAGACAGGATCTGAGAGAATGCACGGAAAAAAAGCAATTCTATTAACTCTACAATAATCTGCTATGTCATCTAGTAAAATTCCATCTGGGTCTTCTTTCAGTTTCCTCCTCTATAAAGTAAGTAGGTTGAATGTGATGAACCCTACAGCTCCATTTACATTCATATTTTATTATGAAAGGAGGAAAGGAGGAAGTAAGTAGAGCATGGTGAGATATATTGAGATCAACTTAACAGACTGGGTATATTCCAAGCTTTGAGTACCCTGCAATCCATTTCCTAATTTTAGGGATGTTTGAGGATCTTATCAAATAAAAATAGAAAAAAATATTTAAACATTGCTTATTCTGTATGAATATCATGTCTCTGGTTGCTATCATGCTGTCTGTGGTAGTATGTTATGCTATCTGTGTTATTTACTGCATGGTTAGTATCTATGTTACATGCTAGTACCTTACCTTTATGACACTCAGATATAGGAGAGGCTCTGGTACAAATAAAGGATTTCTTATTTCATTTCAATATGCAATGAAAACAATCATTTTCAATGATAATAAGTTTTCTTGTGTACAGTTAGATTCACGCATATGTTGGCAAAGAACCCAGGTACAAGTTCACACCTGCTGAGCCTAGTTCCTTCCCAGCTAAGTTTGTTCCCATCAAAGTTGTTCTTATACAAATGGAGATTATTTGAGCAGATTGAAAATAGTAATTGGAGTACAAGGATTTAGTCAATTAAAAAAATATGTGACATCCCTCCATTGTGATTAGCTAAAGCTCATAGGTGCTTTTATACCCACACACTAGCCTTTCATTTGAATAACCTGTATGCACAGCCTCATCATGTACATCTAAATTTTGTTCATACATTCTTCAAATTTCTCTGATGCATATTGTCTTTATTATGTCTATATTTATTGTGTGAACAAGACATTAAAATCTCGTGAGATTTCAATGAGGAAAAGGATGTACCTAGAAACTGTGGGCATCTAAGGAACTCCTGCTTAAATAGGAGAAAATACCAGAGCCCAACCAAAATGGGTGCACAGCCCTTGAAATCTGAGTGTTCCAAAGGCCTTTAACGGAAGTAATGATAACACAATTCCTAGTTGACACATTACTAATAAATAACAACATTGACAGCATAATTGCACAGCAGAAGAATTTATTAAAATAAAATCTTTTGACTTTTCATCTATTTTTGAGAGAAATTCAAAGCCATAAATTGTATCAACAATGCAATTTGATTACTAATTAATCTTGTAGTCTGACAGCTCTTCTATTAGCCAGTGTTTGAGGGTGGGCAAGGTAAAGTGGCTGGCAATCAGGCAACATTAGATGCTTTTAAATAGAGAAAATTAAGATAATAGATAATCTCAATACAGAATCTGCATTTTTCAAATGGATTTGGCTCTTCCATGACTAATCAGTAGCAACCAGACCTACAGAGTGGCCAGTAACAAGATGAATGGAAACTTCTAGAAGGAAAATAGATTGGGCGACAGGAACTGGATCCATAGCTCAGGTAGGGGAAACCACAGACTCTATAACCCAGGGATCTGAAGCCCTGGGATCCACAGCCCAGGGAATAGCAGCTTTTGGATCCAGAGCCTAGGGAGTAGCAGCTTCTGGATCCAGAGCCCAGGGAACGACAGCTCCTGGACCCAAAGCCCACACACCCAGGGTAAGCAGTCCAGCAGGGACTGCAGAGCGTGGAGGTCCTCGGGCGGTAGCAGGACAAGTGGCAGGGGCTGGACACCACGCAGGACTTCCGGCAGCTGGTGGGCTCGCAGCAGGTGTCCTGACAGCCGCTGTAGAGGGAGGAACCCAGCTGGCAGGCGCTGGGAGAGCAGAGGTCCGTGCAGTAGACCAGGTTGCTGGGGTAGGAGGAGCTTGGGCAGCGCAGGTAACCCCCAAGGGAGCGGGAGGAGAAGTTTCCAGAGCAGCAGCTGTAGGACATGCTGATGGGAGATGTGAGTTCAGCTGAGTGACAGGGAGAAGATTCTGAGGTTGAATGTCCCCTCCTAGACTGGGGCATTTATATACCCACAGCAACAGGTGTGGTAGCCGACATGGTCATCCTTCACGTATTTGTGCGCCTTCATTTACATATGTGTAACTCAGAAATCTTCTCTGTAATTGCAGTTGTATTTATGGGTGCTATAATTTTGGTGTTACAGCCAAAGCCAATGAACTGCTCCTATGTCAGAAATACTGTGACTGTTTGACATTAATGATCATCCCGTCACAATGAAGATGGCACCATAGCCAGGGAAGCTTTTCCTTGAGTTTATGATTCCTACATCCGCTTCCTGGGTATCAACATCTGGCTTTACTGTTGGACGCTTTCCTTGTAACAATGAAGAATGAGATCACATTAAAAAAAAATTTTTTTTCTGGTACAGTGGATCAAAGGCACAGTTTCTACCTAGATGGAGCCTTTCTTGAATGATCTACTTTGTCTGCAGTCATTCCCATGCTCCAAAATTGCTTGGTGGTAACTTGTTATGCCAACAACAGAAAGAGAATGCACCAAGTACCAGTTACCCTTTGTGTCTCTTGTCCAATGAAGAGAAACAAAAAAAAGATAAACGAAGACCAAGAGAGTTGGCGGGACACGGATGGACACCTTATCATATATCTAAAGATAAGATGACAACAAAAGGATTCAGCTGAAACAATCCCAGGGAGGATCAATATAAGTCCCCCACTGGGCAGTCAGGGGAGACACATTAGTCTGATGAGAGCAGGGAACAGCAGAAAGAGGAACAGATAAAATTTAGGGATTTTAGCCTTTTTTCTAGTGCATTCTTAAATGATGATCTGTTACATCCTAATGTCTTTATAATCAGAACCTTTCAAAATTAGCGTACTGTATGAATTTTGATGTACTATCCTTTTTATCATCGTCATTTATAAACATCCCAGTCTTCTACCATCTTAGAATGTCTTAGCTTTTCACTGTACAGGCTTTGAATGGTTTTCTGGTATTTGTACAGCAAAGTACCTCCCTACATTTTCTGGCCTAAATGTTTCTTTTCAGTCCCTTTTCCTCGGGGCACAAAAATGTCTCTCTCTCACTGCCTCCAACTGCACCTGTGCCCCCACCTTTTTCATTCTTGTTTTTTTTCCATTTAAGTTTGATTTTTTCCTTATTGTTCTTTCCTGTTTTGTTCTTTCTTGCCATTGCTTAACTATAGATTGAAAGCTCTTTTAGTTTGATAATTTATCATATTCTTAGAGTATAACCAACTGCTTTCTAAGTTCAATGTTAAAATAAAATCAGTTATAAATAAATAAATAAAACCAGTTAAATGACATTTTAGACCCAGGAGAATGTAGTGTCATGGTTGATGTCAATATTTTCTTATTTTGCTTTCTAATAAAATTGTCATAAACTCACAACAGTAATGATAAAAATATTGAACTTTCTCAATAATTTATAGCAGTTTTATTTTTTGGAACTTTTTCTAATGTTTTTTATTTTTATTTCTGAGAGAGAGAGACAGACACAGCGTGAGCAGGGGAGGGTCAGAGAGAGGGGGAAACACAGAATCTGAAACAGGATCCAAGCTCTGAGCTAGCTGTCAGCACACAGCCCGACGCGGGGCTTGAACCCACGAACTGTGAGATCATGACCTGAGCTGAAGTTGGATGCTTAACCGACTGAGCCACCCAAGCGGCCCATATAGCAGTTTTAAAAGTAGCAGAATATAGACTTTCTAGAAGGAAGAGGACTGAGTAAATGACCTCAACTCAAATAGCTACTTTGTGAGTCCTTGATTTTCTGTCCTTCAAACTAAAAATTCCTCCTTGCTTTGTGCCTCAGCAAGTGGGTAAAGTATCCTATTGATACAATATTGAGGACACTATTACTTCCCAATATTTTTCTGCTTTTAAACATAATTATTTAAAATTATCTTAACATTGGTCCAAGAGTACAAGGTTTTAGTTACATGGGATGAACAAATTGTGAGGATCTAAATATTTTTAATGTTTTATTTATTTCTGAGAGAGCGACAGACAGACAGACAGTGTGAGCAGGGGAGGGTCAGAGAGAGAGGGAGACACAGAATCCGAAACAGGATCCAACCTCTGAGCTGGCAGTCAGCACAGAGCCCGAAGCGAGTCTCGAACCTATGAACTGTGAGATCATGACCTAAGCCGAAGTCGGACGCTTAACTGACTGAGCCACCCAGGCGCCCCAAATTCTGAGGCTCTAATGTACAACATGGTAGCTATAGTTACTAATACTGTCAATACTATGTTAATATATATAAAATTTGCTAAGAAAGATGATTTCAAGTATCTTAACCACATCCACAAAAATTGTGACCATGTGAAAAGGTAGATATATTACTTTGTTTTTTATAATCATTTCACAATGTAGACTTATACTTAAACATCACATCATACGCCTTAAATACTAATGACTTATGTGTCACTTATATTTCAATAAAGCTGGAAAAGATAAAATAATCTTGAAGATAAAACTTGTGGCTTAAAAGGGGAGCATAGAGGTGCTAGGCAAATTGCAAAATTTAGTGAATTTGTCTTCAATCACTCCAGGTTCCTTGCTCAAGTATTCTTCTCAACAAGAGGTTTTCTTCTTAGCCCTTTGCCTCTAAATTTCTAAACCTTCATCCACATTAAGTTAATATAATATTCAAAAGGATTTCTCAATTTCCCAACCTCAGACTAATTCTTTAACCTTGGACCCAGAGATTATATTGTTTGTTTTATAGAACATAGACTTCTACCATTTTTGAACTGATTTATTTATCAATAATTAAAAATAGGCATATTTCATATAAAATGTATCACTCTGGGCTGTACCTGCAGTGGCTTCTGATCCTTTGATAACAGAGTCCCATCACGAAGCTATGAACAAAATGGTTTTCATATTTGAGGCATGTTTCCAACTGAACCTCATCTGCAGTTGAGATTTACCACTTTTGGCCCCTGCCTGCTGCCCTTCAAATTACCAGTCACCCCCACACTGGAGAGCTTTTTATTTACTAATTATTTAAGTTAGAAGTTCAATAAGCAAAAACCAATACTTCTTAATTAAAGATTCTCTCGACTCACTACTTATTATTAATTACAGCCAAAAAATGTATTGCTATTTTCCAACATAGATTAGAAGACTCTGAATTCTGCATTCTTGAAAGTATTTTCATTAGACAAAAATATCATGGCTGTTTTTGTTATATGTGTTACAAGCAGTATTCAAGCACATTTCTCTCTGTAATATATTCTTGGTATTTCTCCCTAGGGATCATTTCATTTAAATTTTATAAGGTGGAGGAACATTGAAGATTTCTCAAGAAGCACATCAGCGAGGTATCCAAGTATGTGTCGTTCTTTTTCTATAAATTATCCAAAAACAATGGCTGAGAACCCGGATTCAAATACAAGTTGTTTATTTGGGAGTTGATCCTGGTAATGACCTGCAGGGGAGTGGGAAGTGTGGTAGACAATGAAAGGAAGGAAGTACAGGTGGGTTACTAAGCCAGGACAACTGGAATTCAACTTTAATGGAGAATTCCTTGCACAGGGCCCAGCATGCCCTTATGGAGTGAAAAAAAATCCTTGGGTAGAGATTTATAGATACCCCCAGTAATCAGTACACTTCAGAGTGTACATATGATTACCCAGGACATACAGGAAAGGTATGACAGCTTCTGTTAGAGATGGGGTGTCACTAGAAAAATAGAGATACAATAAATGTGGAAAGAAATAAGGTAAGATCTGGGAGGATAAAATAGGATGAGAAAAGCAGAAAGGTATGAAGACACATGGTCAATTTAGGCCATATTGTAACACAAGGTAAACTATGTGTATGTGGTATGGAAATGGAAGACAGAATTGAAAAGAAAGGCTGGATGCCTCCAACTGTAGCATTTGAATCTCCTGGATTCGGTAGGTGTCATCTACGACCACTGAAACTACAATAACAAGACATTAAATGGTCACCTTCACCGTAGCAACTCACTTATCTGAATCATTCCTATATACAGTTAAAATAAATATTTCAAAATTACATATAATTAGCAAGTTACCATTCCTTAAAACATTGAATCTTTTCTCTCAATGAGGATAGAAAATCTGATGAATATACATCATCATCATCATCACCATCATCATCATCATCATCTCTGTTTTAAAAATTCAAAGAAATACCTAAATATTTCAGAGTCTCAGAGGTTCTATATGGGCTAGAACTAAGTCAAAAGAAATGAACTTACATCTGAAGTTGCCATTCCCTTAAAATTATATGTTGATTTTGAAAGTACTGACTGAGAGGCTAAGAGAAGTTCATAAACACACTGGGCTTAAGAAATAAAATCGGAATTCAGCATCTCTCAGGGTTGAGATCATGGCAAATATCCCAGACCTTGGAGAGCCAATTCCTAGAAGTAAAATTGAATTCCTAATAAACAGTTTTTCATAAGGACAGAATCCCAGGTTTGAACTATCTCAGTCATTGATTGGATATAAATGATCTAGGTTGCTTGTGAGCTCACCCTAGCAGCCTGCCTGAAACATAAGCAAATTCTCTCTGGAAGAGGGTAAATCATTCTGGGATGTGTGTGTGTGTGTGTGTGTGTGTGTGTGTGTGTGTGTGCGCGTGCGTGCGTGCGCTTGCGCGCTTCATATGTATATCTACTATACTCTCAAAATATGGTGGGAATATGAGAAGAAAAGACAAACAGAAGAGAACACCAGAAAGTAAAATGTGAAATACGTGGTCCACATGTCAAAATCAGACACTAAAATACTTATGTGAAGAATTGAACAATAAGAGATAGGAAGGTATTATTAAGGAGTAATTATGTTTAAAGAAGGAAAGGTAAGATTGAGAATTCTGACAGAGAACTAAAAGCCGCACAACAGAACCTCACTGAAATTTTTGAAATTTACAATACCTCTGACTTGTAAAACTTAACTGATATGTTTTATCAGGAGATGAAACAAAGCAGAACAAATACTGAATGCATTGGGAGATGGGATAGAAAGAAATTCCCAAGTGAAAGCATAAAGCGATAAAAAGAATGAAAACAGAGGAAAGAGTATAAGAGGCATATGCAACATAGTCTAACAGTGTACTTTTTTTGTAACTGGAATCAGAGACATCTCATGTGTACCAGGACCTAGATTCTCTAATATCTCTGCTGTATCGTAGTATAGTGTGGCCCATGGTGAACTAAGCCTCCTGCTGAGAAGGAAATTCCCAGGGCTGATACACATATGGATGAGAATCTGTTAGGACTACAGGCTTCATATCAGATACACTGAATCTAAAACCCAATTATTTTCTTCCCTCATTTCAATATTGCTTAATTCTTTGATTTTCCTCCTAAAGGCCCCCATTGATCTCCACTTGCAATTCTGTCTTGGTTCTCTCCCATGTCTCCAAATAAATGTCCAGGTTTCTCTCTTCCATTAACTATCAATAATATTTAACTTGTATTGGCTGGCATTTTCCCCCTTTCCATTGGATCTGAGACATACTGTGTAATAGAATGAGGATATATATGGACAATGATTTTGGAAAATGAGAAAACATGGTGACAAGTAAGGTCAGTATTTACGATGTTCCTATTAAAGCCAAAACTATGCCTCTGATCAATTGACAAAGAAGGAAAATAGTTATTTTTTATTTCCTACCATTTGAGAAAAGTATGTGCCTATTATTTCCAGAAACAAAATACCTGAAGATTCTGATTCTGACAAGAGGAAAGGAAGGGCTTTCCTGGCTGAGGTGGGATGATCATTAATGTCAAACAGTCACGGCATTTCTGACATAGGAGCAGTTCATTGGCTTTGGCTGTAACACCAAAATTATAGCACCCATAAATACAACTGCAATTACAGAGAAGATTTCTGAGTTACACATATGTAAATGAAGGCGCACAAATACGTGAAGGATGACCATGTCGGCTACCACACCTGTTGCTGTGGGTATATAAATGCCCCAGTCTAGGAGGGGACATTCAACCTCAGAATCTTCTCCCTGTCACTCAGCTGAACTCACACATCTCCCATCAGCATGTCCTACAGCTGCTGCTCTGGAAACTTCTCCTCCCGCTCCCTTGGGGGTTACCTGCGCTGCCCAAGCTCCTCCTACCCCAGCAACCTGGTCTACTGCACGGACCTCTGCTCTCCCAGCGCCTGCCAGCTGGGTTCCTCCCTCTACAGCGGCTGTCAGGACACCTGCTGCGAGCCCACCAGCTGCCGGAAGTCCTGCGTGGTGTCCAGCCCCTGCCACAAGTCCTGCTACCGCCCGAGGACCTCCACGCTCTGCAGTCCCTGCTGGCCTGCTTACCCTGGGTGTGTGGGCTTTGGGTCCAGAAGCACCTGTTCCCTGAGCTCTGGATCCAGAAGCTGCTATTCCCTGAGCTGTGGATCCCAGGGCTTCAGACCCCTGGGTTATAGAGTCCATGGCTTCCCCTTGTTGGCCTACGGATCCAGATTCTGCCGCCCAACCTACTTTACCTCAAGGAGCTATCAGTCCTCATGTTACACGCCAACCTGTGAAGCTGGCTTCTATACATCAACTTGTTGAGGCTCCAGATGCTTTTGAGTATTGATGTAAACGTTTCTACTTGGCACAACCATCATTTTCATTTCCAGCAATTACTACTAAACTTTTATTCCTAAATCACCAGTTTCTTTCATCCCCCAACTTTTGGCTGACTGTGAACTTAATGAGTATTCTCAAATTAAGTTCTTAATTCTGTACTATTGATGGAATATATGCTTCACTGAAATGCAATTGAAAATGAAAATTTTAATCTAATAAATCTATGTAACTTGGCACTCAAATACGTTGTTTTTCTCCTCCTCCTCCTCCTCCTCTCCTCCTCCTCCTCCTCCTTCTCCTCCTCCTCCTCCTTCTTCTTATCTGCCCGTAGTTTTTGTATTTTATGGATTTGGGAGATTTAGAGAAGTATCGATATGACTCTGAAACCAGGTGGGTGAACTTACCACATGGTAGATTTGAGCACATTGCTGTTGATATTGTTATGTTTACTGTTGGGAGTAGCCATTTCATGGAGGTCCATATTTTGCATGACTCACTGTCAGTGACACTTGCCTGAGAATAAAGGACATGGATTTTTGCTGATAAAGGAATAAAAGAAATTGGTACATAAACTAGAAATGCAGACAACAAGAAGATATAATGCAAACAACAAGATATAATTTATAAGGTGAGGTTATATATCAATAGACACATACCTCAAAGTCTAGAATCTGAGTGTGGATTTTCAGCAGGAAAACAAATGACCCTGAACTCCCAGGACAGGTGCTATGTGTGCTCTCTGCTGGTTAGCAAAAGTGCCATGATCCCTGCCTGCCACAGGGTAAGTGCCTGTAATCATGTGTGAGATTCTCAGTTAGCTTAGGTGTGTAGCAACTGGATTAAGGAAGTGTGGATAATCTCCTGATGCTTCTCCAAGGTTCAACCTGAATCAGGCAAAGAGAAACACACCCAAGCGATGTTGAACAAGCATCTCTGTTTATGAGGCTCAGCCTCAATCCCCGTCTACCCAAAATAAGCTGATGTCAGAAACCTCAGTGCAGGTGGTTTACTTAATACAAGATCCCAAGGAGCAGGTTTGGGAGATCATGGAAGATGAAAAAATCGAAGAGGAAAATCTCATTAAGGGACATATATTTTTTAGTTGTTATTACAGTGGGCAATGGGGACTCCATCTTTCTGGGGCTTTTTAGAAATGTATAGAATGACTCTTGGAATTGTCTACTCCAGGATCTGATCAGTAGGTGGGATTTATTCAACAGCTCCCATCTCTATCTTTGGTTCAAGATTGTCCCAGATGTGTGTTAACTTCCTAGAACTTCATTCATTGTGCAAAGAAGGAGTCACAGTAGGCTCCATTTGTTTTCCTGGCTGTGACCTTGGAGAAGCTCAGGTTGAGAATGAAAGACTATCTGTGTTTGTCTGGGAAAGGAGGGTTGAAGTCTGCATGAAACTATTCACCATATCTGTGCCTGGGATCCGAGGTGAGAGACTATGGATATAATGGAGGACACAGAGGTATCAGATATACCACTTTCATTTAATGCTCAAACATCCCTGTGAGAAAGATAAACATTATGTTGTATAGACCTTTACAGACATAAGGGAATAAAAACTTCAAAGGATTAGAAGCTTGCCAAAGTTTATAAATCAAAGATCTAGCAGAATCTGATCTCCTGAATCTTTTATTGTTCTTTTCTGATTTTTTCCCTTTAATATCCAACTCCTTTCTCAACAAAGAGTACCTCAGTACCACTTGTGCTACAGAAATTGCTTTATATGAATAGACTTCAACTCCTATGACATTTTGTTTCATTAGCTTCATGAGTGATATACATAATAAAGAATAAAACTGAAAATAAATTTAGAGTTTAGGAGAAGAACGTGAAGGAAGGATGAGCTAATTTCTTTTAAAAATATTTGTATTAACTATAACACCTAATAATACGCTGAGAGAGAAATATTTGATTACCTCTCAGGAAGATAACGCTAGAAATCCTGAGTGCTATGACAATTCACTTTAATTACCACTATTAGTGTCACATCATGACGTTCCCTTTCTCAATACCCAACACCATGAACAGTTAAATAGTTTAAAAAGAACCAAAAAAGCCCCCTTACATCTCACTTGGTATATTCAAGTTAAACACCAGCAACTAAAAACTTGGGATGATTAGCTTCTTGTTGAAAATTAAAAAGATAAAATAAACAAGAAGATAAAGATAATTCTTATGTTATTTGACAGATTTCTTATCTTTCCTTCCAATTCCCCAAAACAAATACTGTCACTCCTAGAAATTTTTCTCTGAAAATAAAAAAGTAAAATGCCAAACTCTTGTGACATCTCCCAGACACTGTAAACTGAATTCCCATCTTGGTGAGTCAGGTTGAAGGAGTGGAAGCAATCTGAGAAAAATCATGGGAAAATCCTCGAGTAGAGAAAAGTAGGATTATAGACGAAGAAATAGCATAAGGGTGTGTGTGCGGGAGGGGGGGGTGGGGTATCTTTTAGAATCTAGCATGGCAGAGTGCATAGCCCAAGCAAGAAACAGGAGAAAATTCTTTGTGTGTATGCTTTGTTATGTAAAATAACATACTAAAAACCTTAAAACCAGCAACACAAAGGCACAAAGATAATAATACAACAGAGGTTACAGATGAGATGAGGAAAAGCATTGATTGTGGAACTAAGCTACTGTGGGTATACATGTTACTGCTTTAAAAATTTTAAAACTACTGTTTCCAGTTTGATTAATAGGATATTAAAGCTTGGTTGGATACAATTATGAGTTATTTGTTTACAATGCTTACAACTGTATTTCTTCTCCACAGGAATCTTACTCATCTGTACCATGATGTTGTCCTTCACCAGATTTGTACTTTTTATTATTACTGAGGCATCAACCAATAATTTTCTCTTCAACGTTGAACTTTTTCAATGACTTCACATTAACATTGTCAAATAGAGCATCATGAACTTTCGATAGCTTCACATACTTGGATTCTTTTTTTTTTTTTTTATTTTTTAAATGTTTTATTTATTTTTAGGAGAGAGAGAAAGAGAGAGAGAGACAGCATGAGCAAGGGAGGGTCAGAGAGAGGGAGTCACAGACTCTGAAACAGGTCCAGGCTCTGAGCTGGCAGTCAGCACAGAGCCCGACGTGGGGCTCGAACCCACGAACCGCGAGATCATGACCTAAGCGAAAGTCGGATGCTTAACTGACTGTCACCCAGGCGCCCATTCACATACTTGGATTCTTCATATTGTGTTGAAAAGAAGAGCATTTTACTCTTACTCTTCAGGTTCTTTGGCTGGTCTAATAAGTAAATTGATATGAAACAAATGAACAACAGTAAAACAAACAAAACAAAAAAGGAGTCTAACCCTTTGAAATGGCCTAAAGCCATCACCCTATATACCATCTTCAGCTAAAGACAAAAGAAAATGTTGGGGACAGGGAGTCCATTATGGGAGGTGACCAGAAAAAGCTTAGGAAACAAGATGAGGTTATTATACAGACTGAAGTCCTCACCTTCTCCATTGATAAGAGTTTCTAGACTGTTGAGCCAATCCCCTTTTCCTGGTACAGGATGGGAGACGTCCTTACAAACTGCAATTTCCCTCATAAATATAAATGTCTCTTATAAAACTTTGACTATGTTTTCAGAACTTCTTTGGTGTCTGAATTTTCTTTAAAATAACCAGTTTAAAATAATCAATGGGACAAGGATGCAGATTTTGAGACGGCATATTTTATTCCCCTTCAAATGGATGAAGAAATCAAAACATTTTTAAAATTTGTTCGTTTTCTATTTGAAGCATTTGACAATACTGACATAAAACTGCCTTCATCTACTCCTTAGTGAAGGTTTTCTCCTGCTAATGGAAGAGCACATCAATGGCTATTGCTTTTGTGTGTGTGTTGTTTTTGAATGCACAGGAAAACTTGGGGTTTTAGGTGAGTGAGTGAAGATCATTAAGATGGTTATTTGACCTAAATGAAAATGTATGCATCCTGGGATGCCTGGGTGGCTTAGTCGGTTAAGAGTCTGACTTTCGCTTAGGTCATGATCTCGCTGTTCGTGGGTTCGAGCCCCGCATCGGGCTCTGTGCTGACTGCCAGCTCAGAGCCTGAAGGCTGTTTCAGAGTCTGTGACTCCCTCTCTCTCTGACCCTTCCCTGCTCACGCTGTCTCTCTCTCCCTCTCCTAGAAATAAATAAAACAGTAAAAAAAAATAAAAAAAAAATGAAAATGTATGCATCCTAGTGATAGATTAACACATCTTTTGCAACTGCTAATGGTAAATAACCATCTTTGGAAGTACTTGGCAATGCAAATTTAGCAGCGAGAACTCCAATATAGAAAGAAAATACGGTCTTACCCAAGCCCCAATTAGGACAGCTACCCAGAAAACACAATCTTCACTGGAAAGAAAGTGCTCCATAGGGTTATATACTTTTCTATGTCTTGGAAAAGCTCAAAAATATTGTAGATTAACATACAGGCAGAAATCATGAGTTTTAAAATCAAGGAATTCAGGAAGTGGAAGCAATGATCGATATCTCAAGGACAAGATGGTTTCCCTTAAAGCTACTCATTCACAGTGCAGGTATACAATGCATTATGGTGGCCATAAATCAGACTTTTGGTTTGAACAAAGTTTATGTACAGTCAGGTTGACTTAGAAAGAAGTCTAAAATGGCTTCCTTTGTATATTAGGTCTTTAGAGAATTTTCTCTCATCACATTATCTTAAAAACTACTTTTGGGCACCTGGTTGGCTTAGTTGAAAGAGCATGTGACTCTTGATCTCAGGGTCATGAGTCTGAGCCCCACACTGGGTGGAAAGATTACATAAATAAAAGTATAAATTAGCTTAGAACAAAACTTGCCCCTTACTTTGAAGTAGTTATGCTTCTTCAGCAAAAGTCTCTAACTTTTCATGGGGTCAGTGACATTGCTGGCCTCCATGGTGGATAGTCAATGGCATCAAATTATGGTACAGATTATATATTCATCATCAACTTGCTTTAATAATAGAAATTCTGTATCTACATTTTTCATGGAATATGAACTTTTCATTTTAGCAATTGCTCCTAAAAATAAAATATTGCAAAGTTTAAAGAACAAAGTGTTCCCAAACAAAACTAATAGTTGCAGATTTAACTAATATAATATGTGGTCCAGCCACTGCAAAAAGAGCACGTAGAGGGGAGGAGGGGATGCACATGAAGGAGGGCACTTGTGGGGATGAGCACTGGGTGTTATGTGGAAACCAATTTGACAATAAACTATTTGTAAAAACAGAAAAAAAAAAGCACGTAAATTATTCCTTATATTTTGTGTGGCAGCCTCAGTCTCATGCTCATATTTCACATACAACTAATCAGTGATTCTCAAATTTCTCACCATCTCCACCTACTGGTAACTTGGTGTATTATATTGCATGTTGCCAACTGTTAAGAGAGCCAAAGCACTACTGGCTTGGTTAGAAAAACAAATGACCCTCCACCAAGATTTGAATGTGTGAGCTGTTCTACCATTTGTACCTGAGTGTAATTTGTTTTTTAGCTCTCCTTTCACACACTCTCTTTGAAAGGAAAGCGATAATCCTATTTTATTCAAAAAAGTTGAACAAAGGAAGGATAAGGAAAGTCTTGTCTTCTTTCGGATTTAACATAGGTTAAAGCAGACTCTGTTCACTATATATGCATCTTATACCCCACTAGCTGAAAGCATGACCAAAGTAAAGTGAAGGTCTCTCAAACCAATCTCCCTTAAGTTAATTCAACGATCACTCATTATAAATAAAAGGTAAAAAAATCTAAGACCATTACCAAATGAGTCTGGATGCTGAGACAAACAGAATAAACCAAGATATACAGTTACCCTGTGGGCACGAATCTAGCTATCTGTGCCTTTAGTAATGTCCTTGACTTACTGGGTGAAAATCTGGGGCAGAAGTGCTGATTCAAAGGTTACCACCTGCCTGGATGTTTGGCTGAATACTGTAACAACAGAATATTTGCATTGGTTTTGAGTTTTGTTTTGTCTTTGTTGTTTTCCAGTGAGTGTTATCAACCAAACAACCCAAAAGCAGGAGAAAGTTGGGACTTCACCAAACTTTACAGGACTGACTCTATTGGGCTTATTTACTAATAAATGTTAGAATGTGTCAGATATTTAATTTAGAGACTTGATCTCTTTTTTCACCATTATTATTATTATGAAAGTTTTATCTTAATTCCAGTGTAGTAAACATACAGTGTTATATTAGTTTTGGATGTACAATGGAATGATTCAACACTTGAGACTTGATTTCTTATATGTCAGCAGAATGGGCTGAGTGGAAACCTTACCAAATCTACCTCACTAATATCTAACTTACTACTGGAGAGCTTCACTCCACTTTCTCAATTATTTTAGGAAATTGTTTATTAGAGTAATCTTCTTTCTGAAGTTCTGTAGTATGTTTAATATCCTCTACAATTTATGATTATTTTATATAAAAACACTGAAATTTCTAACTCCATACAGAACAAAAGACCACATTTGTTTGTTTGTGATCTTAAAAATATATGTCTAGCTTTTATCATATGAAAGTATGGAGTAGACATTAAAGGTGAAATAATTTCTTTCAAACAAAAAGACAGTTGATGATTTTACTTTTAAAAAAAAATGTTCATTTATTAATTTTGAGAGAGAAAGAAAGCATGCGAGGAGAGGGTCAGAGAGAGAGAAAGGGAAAGAGAACCCCAAGCAGGCTCTGCACTGTCAGTGTAGAGCCCAACATGGAGCTTGATCTCACACTCTGTGAGATCATGATCCAAGCTGAAATCATGAGCCTGATGCTTAATCAACTGAGCCATCCAGGTGCCCTGTTGACTTTACTTTTTAAAATAAAAAATTTTTAAATGGTAAATACAAATATCAGAAATATATAGTTAGATGTTTAAAAGTAGTTTTGAAGACAGAGTAAACAAATAATATGAAATCTTACATGTGAATGTCATATAACATATTTTTATTTAAACATATCTTTCCATTTTGTAAAATTTGAAACAAATGTACTAGAAGAAATAAATAAATGGTGTTAAGAAACATTAAGAAAGGAACATGCTTCAATATTACATGTCTATATCACTACAAGAAACCTGTTTCAACATCTTCCTTCAATGAATGTATTTTCCAATTACTGGAATTGGAATTATTTCTAGTCCATAGTAGGTAACAGTACAAGTCAAATTTATAAGCTAATTGATAGGACAAGAGATCAATAGATAGTATAGATCTTGATATAGTAGGTATTACATTAAATTTCTAGACATAGGAGGTATTATGTTCAAACATAAGATTAGTAGAAGCTGGATCCACAGGTTGGTTGGTAAAAAGCAGGCTGGCAACTTCTAGAAGAGAAGGAGATCGGACGATAAAAGCTCGATCTACAACTCAGGGATGAAAAAGCATTGGGACCACAGCCCATTGACTGGAAACCACTGGATCCAAAGCCCAGAGAGGGAAAGCCATAACCAAAAGATTGAAAGCCATTGGATCCAAAGCCCAGAGACCCAGAGTACATCGTCTGGCAGGGACTGTAAAACATGGAGGTCCCTGGTCGGTAGCAGGACACGTGGCAGGGGCTGGACACCAGGTAGGACTTCCGGCAGCTGGTGGGCTCGCAGCAGGTGTCCTGGAAGCCGCTGTAGAGGGAGGAGCCCAGCTGGCAGGTGCTGGGAGAGCGGAGATCAGTGCTGTAGACCAGGTTGTTGGGGGAGAGAGAGACACAAGAAGATCCTGGGTAGCGCAGGAACCCCCCAAGGGACTGAGAGGAGAAGTTTCCAGAGCAGCAGTTGTAGGACATGGTGACAGGAGATGTGCTTTACAGAAAGAAGATTCTGAGTTTGAATGTCACTTCTTGGACTGGGGCATTTATATACCCTTATCATTGGGTGTGTCATTAGCCTGACACATAAAAACAGGTTACCTTCTGCTTTTAATTGAATTGAAAAGATCATCATAATCAAACGCGTGTAGTTTGTGGTTTTACAACTGGAAAGTGCAGTCATGTTTGTGGATTGGAGTTCAGTAATAGTGTTGCATCTTCAAAGCTATTAGTCATCTTCTCTACCAAGGGTCACCCAGCAGATCACTCAGAGAACTGCTTTAGAGGTAGACAGTGCCTGGGATGAGGAAAGCTGGCTTAATTAAAAATAATTGATACCCCTTTCACAATCTGTCTCAAATCGTTACCATCTGGATAGCAAAGTTGCTAACTAACTGATCTATTCATAGTCATTTCTTTTAAACAAAAACATACATTGATTGTTGCCAAGCAAGTTTGCTTAATGAATAGTGTCATCAGGAAGCAGCAATGGTAATATGCAAGATGTATGAGGGTTTTTTAAAACTCAGATCTCAATTTGAACGGCTTCGGTGAAATATTAACTGAGATTTCCTTATTCCCCACGTTTTTGCTTAAAGTGTATGCAGACTAATAAGGGTCAATCTTGAGGGCCTCTGGGTGGCTCAGTTGGTTGAGCATCAGACTCTTAATTTCGGCTCAGGTCATGATCTCACAGTTAATAGGCTGGAGCCCTGTGTTGGGCTCTGTGCTGACAGAATAAAGCCTGCTTGGAATTTCTTCTCTCTCTCTCTTTCTGTCTCTCTGCCCCTCCCCTACTTGCTCTCTCTCTCTCTCTAAATAAACTTAAATATATATATATAATATATATAGAGAGAGAGGGAATAAATAAATTTAAAAATATATATATTTAGAGGTAAATATATAAATACTTATTTATATATTAAATATTATTTTTTATAAATATTAATATTAATATATTAAATATTGAAAAAACTTAAATATATATATATAGAGAGAGGGGGCAATCTTAGTTTTTCTTTCTTATGTGTTTGTATGTGTGTGTGTGTGTGTTCACTGGGGTATAAGTTAAATATTATAAGTTGCTTTATGCTATTTTGGAATGTTAGAGGTAATTCATCTAAGATGCTGAAAAAGCATTAAAAAAAAAATAAGCCATGGCAAAAATGCCCAATGTATTTCTCTCTCTAATCAGAGGCAATGTTTATCATTAAAAAAAGAGAAACAAAACTCCCCAGACTCTGGAAAACGTTCTTGTTCTAAAGAAAGTTTATAAGGTAATTGCCTTGAAGTATTGGACCAAAGGAGCCATCTTAAGAAGATTCTTCCTCGCCCCAAAAAGCAACATACATCACTTTGACTTAAATGGTTTTCGGGTGTTTCTGACAAGTATTACAAAATTTCTAAAATAATGGTCATATATTTTCTTCTTCTATGACTTGTATTCCAGCTCTGTGTAGTAAGGTAATGAAGATTGATACCTTAAGGAAGTGGAGAGATTGAGAAAGTTTATCTTCCTGTGGCTTCTGTGCTGGTTGATTTGTTCATTTCACAGTAGAGCATTCCCCTTCAACTCCTGAACAAAAGTGTTGGAGCACAAAACCCTCCATTTTGTTGAGATAAGAATATTCTTCCACAGAAACAGCTTATATAAGAGCAGATGACATTGAAATAAGCAAGCAAATTCAATTTAGGTGAGTTGAATATATGGATGTTTTGGTGTTTCATATTTTTGTTTTTATTAGAGAGAGAGAGAGGTCGTGATTGGGGGAAAGGGGCACATGGAGAGAGAGAATCAGCATAGCCCCTGCCACAAGGCTCGATCCCACAACCCTGGGATCATGACCTGAGCTGAAATCAGGAGTTGGACGCTCAACTGACTGAGCCACCCAGGAGCTCTAATGTTCAATATTTTATACACAAATAAAACAGGAAGGTTTGGAACATAGTAGAATGGTTTCTGCTATTCATAATTAAGAAGCCTATATAATAAGAATTGTTTATTTTAGAGAGGACAAACTATGTTAGGTAATAAATGAAACATGCTTGAAAACCAATTTGTTTACTGAAAAGTTCAGGCCCACAAAGTCGACAATTTGGAAGGGAGTTTAGCAATTATCTCCATTCCTCTACCAGCTTGGAATACCATTGGCAGCATCCTAATAAGATATTCCCAGTGCCCTCGAGATGGAAGTCTCATTACTTACAAAAGTGGCCTGTTTTAGATTTTTAGCTGAATCTTCCCTTAAATCTTCTACGTAGTAATCTTAATTCTTTCTAGAATGAGTCTCAGTTCATTTCATTGCACAACATATCAGTTTTAGAATATGGGCATCCTAGGTCGTTTGCCGATTCCGTAGGTTGTTAAGCCGATTCCTGCACCCATGCACTACTCTACCTGCACTTATCAATGATGAACTTGGCAGGAGAATTTAGAAAGATACTAATGGTACTAGTCTCTCGGTGGAATATATATGCCACTTGGTACATGTGTCACATCAAAGGCATTCGTTCTTAATTTCACATTATCATCTGTTCTGATTTCCCCCACTCCATTTCAACTTATAAAAGTCATTTGTAACGATGAATTCTTCAAAGGTTTGATGTTTCTTTGAAGTCTACATAAGGAAGACACTTTTCTAATTTTTTAATTTCCTTTACCTTCTATGGAAAAGTTTCCACCCTATGAGAGGAAACTGAGACTAAAAGGCCCATTTTTTAACGTGTAGTGCTTACTCTTTTGTTCCTGATCACATCAACGCCACCAAATAATAACTTAAACATTACAGAGATGAAGAGTTTTTGGTAATTGATAGATGACTTTAACAGGAAGCAAGTCAACTTCAGGGCAAGGATTCCTTGACTTCAGTATTTTTACAATGTAATCTTCAAAGTACTCCTTCAAATATTGGACCCTTCATTTTTAAATTAAATACTTAGACACACAAAAGCAGCCTGGGTACTTGTGTTGTAAGAACACCAAAATCCAAATGTGTCGGTACTCATTTAGCTTTTCTATCGATTAGGAATGCTTAGGGGTTATTTCTTATAAGGTCCACAAGATTTGGGAGAGAAAACAGAATATGGATTTTTTTTTCTGTTCTCAGTTGGGTTCCTAAAATTAGAACAAAATAAATATCTCCTCCAGACTACAAAGTAATTTTCTGAGAACTTGAAACATGGCAAAATTCTCACTGTGTTACCCATTTGATACAATATCTTGAGGGATAGGATGAAGAAAAAACCAATCTTGTAGGATACCATACAATTACATTAATCTACCCAAGCTAGATGAATGAGAGAGGTGACATTTTTACCTCATGAACAATTGCTTTGAAAAACCAATGAAATTCTTTCATTTAAATGTCTGTGTTCATAAAAAAGGGCTTTGATGGTTAATGTATTTCATTTTGACGGGAGCCTAATTAAGCCTTCTTAGTAAAATAGGCACATGCTACTAACCCATTGCTTGGGTATATAAGCGTCCAGTAGAAGGTCACAATCACACTCACCACACCTCTCTGCAACTCAGCTGAACCCAGAACTCCCAACATGCATGACAACGGCAGCTCTTCAAACTTCTCCTCCTGCTTTCCTGGGGGTTATCTGGGGTACCCAGTTTCCACCTATGACTCTTTCTACTCCAGAAATGTAGTCAACCCTCCCAGCATCTGCCAGCTGGGCTCCCCTCTCTTTGCTGGCTGCCAGGAGACCTGCTGCGAGCCCACCAGCAGATGGACGTACTGTACTGGGCCCAGATCCTACCAGACATCCTGCTTCCGTCCAAAGAATTCCATCTTCTTCAGTCCCTGCCAAACAAATTATACTGGATCTCTGGGATGTGGAAACATTGGCCTTGGGGCTTTTGGTTGTGGAAGCACTGGTTTCCAGTCTCTGGGCTGTGGGTCCAGCTTCTGTCATCCCACTTACTTTTCTTCCAGGAATTGCCACTCAACTTGTTACCAACCAGCCTTTAGCTCTCGCTTTTGGGGGTCAACTTACTGAATACCCCCCATTATCTCATGGTTATGTCTGTACCTTAGAAAACTTTAACATGCAGCCTGTCCAATATCTGTAATCACTGACCATCTCCTTTGGCAGGACTTGCCGTCACAGTCCTCCCAGAAGGATGTGATTCACTGTGGACAAAGTGACCTCTTTTGTTAAATCAGACATATGAGACACGTCTTGAATTTTCATTCTTATGTCAATGCCCAGAATCCCTTCTGTTACTTTCTTTCTAAGATTTTCCTCTTATTTTCTCTTAGGATTCTTTCACTTAAATTTCAAATAGAATTGGTCATTTAAAATAAACATTTTTTGGGGCGCCTGGGTGGCTTAGTCGGTTAAGCGTCTTGACTTTTGCTTAGGTCATGATCTCGCGGTTCGTGGGTTCGAGCCCCGCGTCGGGCTCTGTGCTGACTGCCAGCTCAGAGCCCGGAGCCTGTTTCAGAGTCTGTGACTCCCTCTCTCTCTGACTCTCCCCTGCTCACGCTGTCTCTCTCTCTCTCTCCTAGAAATAAATAAAACATTTAAAAAATTAAAAAAATAAAATAAACATTTTTTTCTACCATGAATTATGACATTCTATTTTTTTATTTATATGGTACATGTATTGAATGCATCCCAAACCTTCAACTGTCTTCATTAAGTAGGCACCTTTTTGTTTTGTTTTATTCTCTTTGTTTCATATGTTTTATTAATAAGTTACTCAATAAAAATCAAGGAATTTAAAGAATAATTCAAATATTTGACATATATTGCATGTTAAAGGATTTATGCTCCCTCATAGGTGAATTTGTTCATCTAATTGCTTTAGAAAATGTTTTTAGTTAAACTTTCACTGAAAAAGGATTTATTGATTTCTGATTATAGACCAGCTGTTGTGCTGAAGAAAGGCATAAATTCCATGCCTCCATGAAGTTCATACACATACAATTCTAACTCACCATCATGTAGCATGTACAATAATGGGGACAAAAATTAAGTTTCAATAGTAATAAAGAAGAACAGCAATTTCAAAAAACATGAGGAAATCACATAAAACTCATTACTGACAATCCAAAAAGTAAGTTATCACTCAACATAAAAAAAAAAAAAAAGTCTTGGGACGTCTGGGTGGTTCAGTCAGTTAAGCATCTGACTTTGGCTCAGGCCATGATCTCACAGTTCATGGGTTCAGCCCCTGCATCAGGCTCTTTGCTGACAGCTGGGAGCCTGGTGCCTGCTTCGGATTCTGTGCCTTGTTCTCTCTCTGCTCCTCCCCCACTCACTCTCTGTCTCTCTGTCAAAAATAAAAATAACATTAAAATTTTTTTAAAAAAATAAATCTTGCTGCTGATACAATATGTTAGTTGTAGTCCTTTGATAAATAGCTGCCAAATAGAGTTTTCCCTAAAAGAGATGTATTGGTGGGGCACCTGGGTGGCTCAGTTGGTTAAGCATCTGACTCTTGGTTTCAGCTCAAGTCATGACCTCATAATTTATGAGATGGAATCCCAGGTCAGGCTCTGTGCTGACAGCATGGAGTCGGCTTAGGATCCTCTCTCTCCCTCTTTCATTGCCCCTACACCCCCTCTTAAAATAAACCAATAAACATTTTAAAAAATTAACCACCACAGTTCCATTTTCTTGAAAATATGGGCTGACATATCTATTTCATAAAATATATAGTTTAAATTAGTGCACAAGACTTTAAGCAAGGGTAAATTAAATTACTTGTAAGGAATCTTCCTCTCATTTTATGAAATTTATAGTTTTTAAAGACCATTTTCTCAGATTCTTATGCCTGATTTGTAAGAGTGGTTTCTAGCAGTTTCATGATTGCTCACTGGAACACTGAAACCTCTTAATACACATCTATGTGTGTTCATGAGAATAATTTCTTTTCTGCTAATGATCACCCCACACTCTCCAGCAGAGGACTTCTAAGAACACAACTCGGGTCTAGCTGTGCACGTGAAATGTATTAGGGCAGAGGGCAATGTTCAGAGAATTTTTTTTCCAAGATAATTTTTTTAAAAATGTTTAACATTTATTTATTATTGAGAAACAGAGAGAGAGCATGAGCAGGGGAGGGGCAGAGAAAAGGGGAAGACACAGAATCCAAAGCAGGGTTGAGGCTCTGAGCTGTCAGCACAGAGCCCAATGCAGGGCTTGAACTCACAGACTGTGAGATCATGACCTGAGCCAAAGTTGGACGCTTAACCGACTGAGCCACCCAGGAGACCCCCAAGATAAGTTTTAATCTATATTCCCATCTTTGCTATTTCTCATCCTCATATTTCTCATGTTTGCTTCGTTCATTTATTTTGTCATGCCCTATCCCCTTTTTACCATGCCCTTCTTTTATCATTCTCTACCTTTCTGCCATGTTTCCTGCACTTCAACCAAGCATTTACTCTCTTCATGGTTTCCATGGCTCTTGGCACTATTCAGATTTGGGCTGGATCTTTCTTTGTTAGGATAGAGCTGTCTCATGCATTATAGGATGCTTAGCAGCATCCCTGGCCTCTTCCACCAGATGCCAGCAGAACTGCCGCCCCCCCAGCCTCCCCACACACACCCTACTTCCCTTGTGGCAATCCCATATGTCTCTAGACATTGCCAATTGTCCTTTGGAGGCAAAATTATTCTTTGTTTAGAGCCCTGATTTAAATGGGTATTTGGGAAATGAGCTGCCTGGGATAGTTCTTAACTGTCACCTCTGGACCTATCTCCCAACTGGGATGGAGATAGGACAGTGAAAACGCAATATTGTATTAACTCCCTACATGAATAAAGTATTAAAGTACTGAAAAAAATGCATGGATATTCCATAAATCTAAAATAATGTTGAGCTACTCTCTTGGTAAATATTATTTCACTATTCCACACAAATGTAGTAAGTTGTGATGATGTTTATAATTTCAATGATTGGTTCAGCTGCAATTGGAAGGGAAAAAATGGCATTTTTTGTGACAAACTTCTCAGTTCCAGAACATCTAAGTTGTCTGTTAGGCTCACACCCATTTTTTGATCATCCTAGACCTAGAAGAAATAGCAAGACTTAGATTATCTTCTCACCATATTTCAGGTAATTAAGACCAATTGAGACCAATTTCTGGTTTATGGACTCTGCTTTAATATCTTTGGGTATTCTGAGAGCATTCTTCAATTCGTCTGACCCATTTTGTGTACTCCACAAAAACAAAAACAAAAAACCACCTTCAACTCTTCAGTATCTACCAGCAATGATGGAGCTGATCATAAGCTACATTTCTTCATTTTGAAGCTTTGAAGCTGATACCACGGGCTTTACTCTCTAAGTATCTCAACACCTCATTTCAATTCATCATGTGAGAACTTTACTGACTGTGAACTTCTTCAGCTGTGTCTACCAAATATTTCATGCTAACAAGCATCTGCTTAAAGGGATTCATATTTCAAATACAAGAAAACAAGTTCATTACATAAATATTTATTTGTCCCTGCTACAAGCCAGGGTTTACGCTAGTTCCTGGAGGATGCAAGTTTAAGCAACAATGTAATGGAATTGACACACAGCTATCAACAACATTAGGATATAACTTTAGTTAGACTGGAATAATCTCATGAGAAAAGAAGTGAAGATCAGAGGACTTTTTCCAGAAAAATGTAAAGCTCAGGTTGGGACTTAGAGGATAATGCATTTGGACAGGAAGAACAAAGGCACAGAAAAGGAAACAGGAGACGTTCAGTGTACAAAGCACTTGTTTGAGGAAGGACAAAGACCGTCTCTTTCCTTTTGCATGCAGGAAGGAACTTGAACCAGAAAGATAATTTGGCCGTAAACATCATGCTAACAAATTTATGTTATGTTACATAAGGAACTGGAGAACAGTGGAGATTTCTGAGTAGAAATTTTAGAATTTCATTCTGTCACCTAAATTTAATATGCTTTTTGGGGACATAACTTAAAAAGAGAACTTTCCTTTGATTGTTTTAGAAAATATTTCATTTGCTTAAGATTTACAGTTCACTTTTTTCTTTTCTCATGTTTTGTTATTGGAATCCTTCTGGCCAGAAAGGCATTGGTATTATTTTGTGGTTGGGGCTATATCCTACTTTCCAACTCTTGCTGGCTTGTCTGAGAGGAGGCCCTCAAGACAGGGATGTTGTCTTCCACATCATTTGTTACTTTCAGAGTATCGTTTAATGAAATGTTAACAATTGATTCATCAATATACCTAAAAATAAAAATTAGTTACAAAACTTGAAATCGTTAGTCTATTCACTTTTGTTATTGCTAAAAGCAGTTGTCAAAATTTTGTGGGCTTTTCTTTTTAATAATACATGTTATAGCAATATATTCTTATAATCCATAAAGCAATACAAAGCTTTGGGTTGGGTATTTGGTTTTGCTTGTTTGTTTCTTTGCTTGTTTGTCTATTTGTAAGACACCTGAGGTACAGAGAAGCGTATTTGTCCAAAATCACACAGTTTATAATATAAACTCAGTTCTACCTTTATAAAGCATATAACCCACTACGAGGAGTAAAGATAAATAAGAGAGTGCTCATTCTGAGAATGGTGAACTGTCACAATCTTCTAGGTAATAAGGTAGTATATATTTTATTTATTAATATTAAATTAGCATTTGACATCAAAGAAATGATGTCAAAACTGAGCATTATTTTTTCAAAAATCTTGAATAAGGGAGCATTTAGTTATTAGGGATCTGTGCCATTAGCAAATTGCATATCTACAAATTTATTCTCTGTAAAAGGCAAATGGATGCTAAAACATTTTTAAATGGATGTGGCAGGACATATGATAAAGTATGTAAGAATTTTTATTTGAGGGGTGCCTTGGTGGCTCAGGCAGTTAAGGGTCCAACTTTGGCTCAGGTCATGATCTCATGGTTTGTGGGATCGAGCCCCGTGTTGGACTCTGTGCTGACAGTTCAGAGCCTGGAGCCTGCTTTGGATTCTGTGTCTTCCTATCTCTCTGCCCCTCCCCCGCTTGTTCGTTGTCTCTCTCTCAAA